CACCGGCAGGAAGGAAGCGGAGGCAGCTGGAGCAGAGATAAACACTGTTTTGCTCAGCACAGACCAGCTTGTACGGCCCCACCAAGCTCTCCCTGGTGCCCCACCGCCTACAAAACTCTTGGAAAGGTGCTCCTGGCCCTCGGGAGACAGAGCTGCGGAGGCAGAGAGAGGGGTGGAGGTGCAGGAGGTGGGAAACAGGGGCGGAGAGCATCCCTGCTCCTGGGAGCTGCCCGGCAGGCAGGTAGGCTCCTCCCTTTTGGTTTTCCTCCAGCTTGGACACAGTGTGGGACAACCGGCTCTTCAGCAGGCTGAAATGCTGGAGAAGAGCTGGGAATTTGCTAGATACAGGCAGCACAGAGGAGGTAACAGGAGGCAGACCTGACTTGGCATCTGCTGCTCTGTATGATTCCCCTGCCCCTGCCTGGGTATTGTCACGCCAGCCGCCCTCGGCTGCAGCCTCCATCCCTCCCCGCAGAGAGGCCACTCGTGGAGGGGGCACTGTGCTCAGCATCCCCCACCCCAACTCCTCTTGGGTTTATTTATTGCACGAACATAAGTTATTTTCACGTCCTCTTTGCCATTCCGCCGCTCGGCACAGCCAGGATGTTGGTACAGAGCCGTACTTTATATTTTATATATGCAAATCACATTTTATCTTATACTTATATAGAGAAAAAAACAAACTTATTTATTTTCTGACTTACAGTATGTGTCCTACCCGACTCCTCTGTATTTTGTAGACTTTACAAATAAAGCAAGTTCTTTTTTTTCCACAGCTAGAGTGTGTCTGGTCATTCTTGCACCTGGGACAGAGCTGTGCCTCAGTGCGATCAGGTTTTCTAGCTCCCTCTAGCTTTGCTGCAGGACGTGCTCAAGAATGTGCCCAAAAAAAGATGGACTGGGGGACAGCCCATGACTTCCTAGGACAAAGACAGATTTATCACCTCTGAAAGGAAAGGGCTTGGAACGCAAGCTTAATGCTGAACGTCACCCCCCATGGCACCTGCTTTCAGGAGCAGTTCAGCTTTTCCTAGGAAAGACAACGCTTTTCACTGGAAAAATTCCCTCTAGGCTGCCCTTGGACCAGATGCCAGAGGGGAGGTAGGTGCAATCAGGGTAGCTCTGCCCAAAATCTTCCCTGCCAAGCGACCTCACTGCCTGTCTTGGGAACAGCGAGGAAAGCAGGGAGCTTGTGTCTGTGGGTGGCAGAAGAGGCAGGAAGCATGGCAGGCACCTTACCCAGAGGTGAAGCCTGACCTCCTCCCTTGCGGAAAAGCCACCCTTCCTCAGAGGTGAGGTGGCAGTGATGAGAATGTTCCCCTAGTGCCCAGGTCCCGAACAGGCTGCAGCACTCAGGATAGTCTGGGGTTAAAATTCACACTGCCAACTGCCCCAGCCCCAACCTTGCTCCTGGAAGGAAATCCCAGCATTGCTGTTTGCTGGACCCCCGTCTAAGAAAGCAGCACACTCTCTCCCACAGGTGTTTTGCACTGAGCAAACAGTCCCAAGACAGGACTCCTCCCTGCTCCAGGTTTTTGAGACACAAGTTTTGCTCCTGTGTTGGGCCATCAGCGGTGTCTCAGCCCAGGGGGCTGCAGTGATGCTTCTCCATCAGTTCCTAAACACACAGAGCTTTCCTCCTGAGACGAGGACAAGATAACCTGACCCACCAAGCCTCAGCTCCTCAAAACCAGCTCAGAGAAGGAACCCAGACAGCACCACGCAGAGGCAGCTTAAGTACAATCTATATTATCTCTATATTTTTTTATTTGTCATCATATTTGCTCATTTCTGCAGAGTATAACGTCACAAAGACCAAAATAGAGAGAGCGGCTTGTCGCTGAGCTCACATCAGTTAAACACAATAGGTACAAAACTAGGTGACTCTTTGTCTTATCATACTTTTTTTTCAGTCATTTATATACAAAGAACTACTCTATATGGAAAAATAATAAACAAATCCCATGGGTATGTTACACAGTAAACAAAAAGGAAGGAAGGAAGGAAAGAAGGAAGGAAGGAGAGCGGAAGCAGGTGAGGGAGAGCAGCTCCAAGGGCCTACTCCTGGAACTGACATGTTTCCTGGGGCCCTGGGCTACCATGAGCAGACCTGCAAGCCCATGAGTGCCTTGGCCTTCTTGGTTTCAAGTTCTGGATCTTATATCTGTTCTTCCAAGCCAGTACAACTTCAGAGCCAGTCTTGCCCTGGCACTTGTCTGTCATAAGCAAGAGCAGGAAGCTCAGTGATGGATGATTTTGTGTGTTGTTAAAAAATATCTGTGTATATAAAATTACAAAGCAGGGCAGCTGGCTGTTGTCTGGGCACTAGTTCTTCACCAGGCTTCTCCGAAGGCAGCTGGTGCAAAAGGGTTATACTTGAAACCACCACATACAGGAAGCTTTGAGAATATCCAGATCCTCTGCACAGCATGTATACGCAGGAGACATTTCAAAGCAAGTTCCAAGAAATGCTTCTCCAAGCCTGGATCACCTTCATATGCAATGGGGCAACCAGAGAGATTTCAGATCTCAGCCACCCAGTGCAACAAAGACTGGGGACGATCACCAAGTGACACTGGGACATCATCAAGGCCTGCAAATGCAAAGCAAGGGGAGGATAGGATCATGTCCCACACCCCACATTCCTACAAGAGAGGGGAAGCTTAACATAAGTACCTCACACTAAACTATTAATCAAAGCCATAGAAGAAAGGAAAGCCCATTCAATCTTCAGCTCTGCTTTTCCGATGGCTTATGTGTGAGGAAGTTTTACACCAAGCCCACACAAAGCCTGGCAGAGTGTTTGCACGCCCATTTAAGCAGCCACAGATTTAGGAAACGCAGTAACTAACATCACGGTATCGCAGTATGTGTGTAAGTGGGGAAATCCAGCAGCAGAGAAGCTGGAAGAGAGAAGCTGGAGAGAAGCAGAGAACCCAGCTCCCTCACCAGTCAGCACCATTGCTCCCACCTGCTTCACCGTCCCCCCAGACACGAGTACAGAAGGAGACATTGCCCCTAAGCCTTTCCCTATTTTATCCCCACAGCAGGGAGCAAACCTGCCTCTCTTCAAGCCCTTTAGCCCTGCTTGGGCAGGGGTGCTGAGGAAATGAGGTGCTGTCACTTCTGAGACACTGAATGAACAAGCAGATGGATTAGGAAACAAGTGGAAAGGTGAACTCCAGGCAGTAAACCACACTCCAGTCTCCTAGCAGAGCAACAAGGGGCAATCCCAAAATGCAGGTCTGCTGATGGCAGCGTAGGCATCAGGCAGGAGAGGAACGGAGAAACTACAGCCAAGAACAAACCAATTTGCTCCAGTCTCTCAATTCTGCTTCTTGCTTATGGGCAGAAGCATCTCATCTGTAGCACTTGACTGTGCTGCCCTTTCAGCCCCTAGATAATTTCAAGCAAGCAAGAAGCATTTCCTGGTCCCTGGATAGATCTACAGAGGGATCACTTCTAGTTTGGCTCCACTAAGTACCCATGGGGGCCCATCCACAACCCAAGAGAAGCAAGGGGAAGCTTCTCCCACTTCCATGGATGCCAGCTCCACCCTTGATAGCACTGCAGTTGCTGCAGGGCCTGTGAAATGTGCAGCAGCAGCAGCAACTGCTGCCAGGGAAAATAAAAGGGACAATTCTGACCAGCCAGGTCATGTCAGGTTTCAAGTCTGCTCTAGTTTGGCCCAGAACAGCTAGAGAGATAGAAAACAAAGGAGTGTGCAATATTCCTTTCTGAATATTCCAGCCTAAGGGCAAAACTTGTGCAGCTCGCAAGGAGTCAGGGATGACAAACACGGGGAGAGTTACCTGTACGAGACCAGGACCTGCTCTGGCAGCTACCTGGTGCAGCCCACACCTTTAAGAGGGGCAGCTGTGATGCTGAGGGACAGGAAACAAGAAGAAAAACTGTGTTTGTGTTTACACTTCCCAAAGAGGGATGAAGGGAGGTCTACAAACTTCCACCACCTATCACGGCTAGTCCTCAGTCTTGTTAGCAGGAGACAGATGCTCCAGGCAGACGTCTTGCCAGAGGAATGCCAGGGAGATGGAAAGCTTGTACACCTGGTGATCAGAAAATTCCATCCTTGTGAAAAAGCAGTTCCATCCCCACTGAGCTTCAACAAGCATCAGCTTTGATGGTGATCAGGGGGGATTGCAGGGAGCAGAGGAACAGGAGAAAAGTCCTGTTCTTTTTCCCCTTGCTCACTCAAGTGACTCAAGAACACACAATCAGGTGCTCAGGAGGGTGTTCCTTGCCTGCCATTCAAGGCAATGGCTATATAAAGAGACCAATCTCTGGTCTGGTCCTCAGGAATGCTTATCACTGCATCCTAATCCCATTTCCCAAGGATCACAGAGATGTTAGTATCAGGAAGTTGGGGAGAAAACTGTGCCTACATCGAGCATTCAGGA